AGAGAGAGCGGGAGCGGGCGAGAGAGCGAGTGCGCGAGAGCGGGAGAGAGCAAGAGCGGGCGAGAGAGAGCGGGAGTGGGAGAGAGAGTGAGAGCATGAGAGTGGGAGAGAAAGCGAGACAGCGGGAGAGAGCGAGAACAGGCAAGAGAGAGCAGGAGTGGGCGAGAGAGAGCGGGAGCGGGCGAGAGAGAGCAGGAGAGAATGGGAGTGGGAGAGAGAGCGAGAGAGTGGGAGAGAGCGAGAGCGGGAGCAGGAGAGAGAGCGAGAGCGAGAGAGCGGGAGACAGAGCAAGAAAGAGAGCGAGGAAGAGAGCGAGAGAGCAGGAGTGAGACAGCAGGAGAGACAGCGAGAGAGCGGGAAAGACAGCGAGAGAGCGGGAGAGCCCGCGAGAGCAGGAGAGAGAGAGAGTGAGAGAGAGAGAGAGCGCATGATTAACATTACTGACCAGGGAAACAATTCTTTATCTGATTTAGAAGAGTTCATCTTTAAAAAGGACTCCAAGCACTCTGTGTATACAATATTATGGCTCTGCCTCACAGTTACTCTGCTGTGGCTCTGCTGCTCATCCAAAAATCCATTAGTTTTCTGTAATTTCTGCTCATAGCTTGTAATGTGTTTGACTGTTTTAAATAAACAAATCCATGGAATTAATCAGTCCCTGATGGTAGAATGATTGTTAGAACATTGCTCATGTGATGGTGACCAGTGACAGAAAACATGGTGCTCAAGAGCTTCTAATGCTTGAAAAAATCAGAAAGCAAGTTAATCTAAAGATGAAATACATGGCTGTCAGTCTTAAACCATGCATGAGACAACCCTCAATGTTTTTATTGAGTAATGCATCAAATAGTTTTGAAAGCACAGCGTGGTTGTAACCAGACAGATCCCTATGCAGTGGCCAGTTGAGCTCATGGGAGAAAGTAAGTGGTTGGGATATTTACCAAACCTATACCAAGCATGGGATTGTCAAAGGTGTTTTTCCAGAATGTCCATAAAATGCCCTAGTTTAAATTGAGACACAGCAGGCCTTCTAACAGAATTTAAAATGCTTGGACAGTATTCAGAGCTTTGCTTTCTAGATTCAGATATGCCTGATGCAGAGAAACAAGCCATTAAGATTTGCTTATGCAGGTATACACAGACTGCTAGGATTAACAGCTGAAGAGCTAAAATATACCTAAAGCATACAGCCATATTGGAGGACTCAGAGTCAGCTTAATCTTCTGTATTCATGTCAGTTAGACAGATGCCTACAGAATCCATTGAACATTTCATGAGCAGATGTAGAGAAAATGGCTCATTTTGAGATTGGTCAGATGGGGTGCTAGAGAACAGAGCTGTTGAGTTAATGACTGCTTTCACACCCATAGAAAATTTCCACATAAAAATTCTAGATAAACCTACAAAAAGCTGGACATAAATACTAAGCAATCCTTGCAGGTTGATGTGCTTATAGGTCCTAAGTACATATGAGATGGTTAACGCAAGCACTGAAGCACCCGGACACAGCAAGACAAATAGAAAGTGTGGCCTCCTACATACACCAAGGAAATTTTGCAATGCAGGTGGCAGTAAAGACCTTTGGTAGACGCAGTGCACAAGAGGAGAGGCTGATGCAGCTGCAAAGAGCCATTAACCGATTCAAATGACCCGCGCACCAGAGCATCTTCAAACTACAATAAAGACCATCTGATATCCTGCCAGAGACATGGGCATGAAGCAATTGACAAACCAGAAGCTGACAATGAGACAAACAGTGATAAACACAGGTTCCACACTTCAATTTCATGGGAAACATTAATGTTCGCAACCTTTCAAAATATTTGTCCTTGAAAAGCTGGCTCACAATTGGCTAGGATTGACACAAGGACAATATAGTTATTTTTATTCATTTTTGTAGGCATGGCTGGCTAGGAGAGCAGTTGGCGCTCATTTCTAATTGCTCAAGGGAAGTTAAGACTCAACCTAATAGCTGTGGGTCTGGAGTCACATATAAGTCAGACCAGGTTTGGAGGGCAGATTTCTTCACTAAAAGAACATTAGTGAACCAGATAGGGTTTTTTTTCAACAAACGATAATGGATTCATGGTCATATTTAGACTCTTAATCCCAGATTTATTTTATATAATTCAAATTGCACCATCTGCCACGGCAGTATTTGTATGCAGGTCCCCAGACCTGGGTCTCTGGATTAAGAGTCAAGCAATAATACCACTAGGTCATCATTTCCCCTATAAAATCATAAAAAAGTACCAAGAGATATGGGAGACTATGACAAAATCTAAGAATGTTTTACATTCAGCCACTACAATTCACCAATTGTATGGGCAGGATCAACAGTATCGGAGTAGAAGTACAAATCTGTTCATCTGGACCTCACTGCTGTACCGCAACATGTACGCTAATGGACTCATAAGTGAGTGTATATCAGCATGGCATGACCTCACAATCAAGAAGCCAAACATCAGGGATACAACAGAAAACTATCCAAGAGACACTTGCACTACTCTTATATAATTAAAGAACAACAAAACTATTCAATTTCTGCTGAATTAATGAAGTTAAATCTCAATTCTCTGCTACAGAGAGAAAAATGAATGTTCAAGTAGAAAAGGCTAAACAACTATCTCAGGATATATCCAGACTTGGCAATACCATCTCCAAGACAAGATGTGGAGGTGCCTATGTAAGACTGGGGTGGACACAAGGTCAAAAATCACAACACCAGGTTATAGTCCAACACGATTTTTTGAAGACAAGCTTTCAGAGTCTCAATCCTTCTTCAGGTGTCAGTGATCTCTAAGACAACAAAGTCTTTAAGGGATACATCTGTTTAACTCACAAAGATGTATGAAGTGATGGAAGAAAAGAAAAAGGAAGTAGGATGCGCTACAAGGTCTGTATCATTAATGCAATGCAAAGATTGCTGGTATACAGGAATATATACAACTCACGTAAACAGATCAGGTTCAACAGAATAGATACAGAAACATCAGTTTGGGCTCCAAGCAATGCTGGAGAAAAAGACAGACCTACAAAAGCAGGTGGGGATGTGCAATGCACATAACGTGGAGCTGCAAATCACCCAAGGTACAGTCCTTTCCAAATTAAATAGTAGCAGGGCTTAGAAGAAACTGGAATAACTAAAGCAGCAAATGGAACAGGGCCAAGCATCAAAGAAAACAACTACAAAAAAAAAGTTGGAGAACCTGTTATAAAGTTAAGAAAGAGAAAGTTTACTGGATAAACGGAAGGCTAAAACTGATAAAATTAGAAGAATCCAGGGCAGAGTATCCAGAGAAATTGGCCTTTTCCTGGTTAGCAAGATGTCACTAGTCGGGTGTCACAAGGTTCGGTCCTCAGGCCACAACTATTTACAATTGATGTGGAGCATCAGGATAAACAAATTCTGAACCAGTAACTGCAGTCCCAAGAGAAAAAAAAACTGCACTTACAAGCAGAACAATAGACAGAATGACCAAGGGTAATCATCAACACCTCAATTCAAATTCACCATCATGAAATCTGGATGAATAACAAATTATCTACTTGTTACAGAGGCTCAAAGGCTCACTTGTTATTGTAAATAGTTAAACAGTCTTAGAAAAGAAGGAATGTTTGTGTACCTTACCATTAAGGGAGTTTACTTTTAAGGACTCCATGTGCTATATATACAATTCTACAACTCCGCCTGACTGTTATTCTGCAAGTTGCAATGTCTGCTTCATAACTTATTTGTGTTTTACTGTTTTAAATAAACCAACAAACGGTGTAAATAAATTTCTGATGAACGACTGATGTTTAGATCATTATCATTATCTGGCTATTGCCGACTTCTCCCGTAAATACTTTGCATTCACAATTCCTAACCCTCTGACCTCACCTACCTACAGCACAAGCCCCCAGCCCTGCCTCCATGTACCTTCTTTAGTTGTTATCTGGGCACCTCCAGCAGTGATGAACTCAATATTTCCAAGCTGTAAAACTCCAGACAGCAACTTGAAAATATCATGGATTTCCTCGCTGTCAAACTCCATGACAAAGAAAGCAGCCTGGGGACAGGAAAACGTTCATAAGCAACAGCTTCAGCATTTCAAACAGGATATTGCCTGCCACATTCGTACAATTTACATCAGAGGTGACATGATACCAGGTTATAGTCCAACTGGTTTATTTGAAATCACAAACTTTCGGAGCACTGCTTCTTCGTCAGGTGAAGTGTAGGAGCAGCACTTTGAAAGCTTGTGATTTCAAATAAACCTGTTGGACCATAACCTGGTGTCGTGTCACTTCTGACTTTGTTCACCCCATCTGGACCTCCACATCATACAAGTTCGGACAATCAGCCTCCTGAGCCTCTTCTGCCATTCAATAAGATCTTAGTTGATCTATTTGTGTTTTGAAGTGCAGATCCCAATATAACACAATAATCTTTGATTCACCTGCCTAACATTAACTTCTACAACACCTTCTGACTGTCCTCTCTCTGATGCTGAACATTCTGTACTCAGCAAAGGTTTTAGTTTTATCCCCTGAGGTTGGGGCACAATGAATTTTGGGCAAGACATGACATTGAACTCTTCTTCCAGCGCCTCCATGACTACTTCTTTGGAGTGCAGTCCTCTCCCTGTCCCACAGACCCCTTCACATGCCTACAACATTCTCCCTCCACCTGGGCCCTTCCCTCTGGCCTTTTACCTGCACTTGATCTGTTCACTGAGGATAGACGATGTGACATTGGTCACCACAGTTTCGAATGCGGAGGGTGGGCGCAGGGAAATTATCTCCCTCTGAACCGACCATGCTCACAGCCAGATCAAATCCTGATTTTGTCATCAAATCTGCAGGCAAGGATGGTGCTCAGGAAGGGTCACCGGACCCGAAACGTTAACTCTTATTTTTTCCTTCACAGATGCTGCCAGACCTGCTGAGCTTTTCCAGCAACTTTGTTTTTGTTGTTGTTGTTTTTGGTGCTGTTGTGGTCTGGCAGACTGACCTCTTCATTGTGGAGGCTGAGCACCAGCTCTCAGACACTTCATTCTATCTGCCCCTGGACCACGACCCTACTGTTGAGCATCAGGACATTCTGTCAACTGTCAGCGACCTCATTTCATCTGGAGATCTCCTCTGACAGCCTCGCAACCCCATACACCCCGTTTCTACCTTCTCCCCAAAATTCACAAACAAGACTACCCAGGCAGACCTATTGCTTCTACCTGTTCCTGCCCCACAGAACTCATTTCTTCCTACCTCAACTGGATTTTTCTCCCCTTTTCCAGTTCCTCCCCCCTTACATTGGTGATTATTCTGATGCTTAATATTTGTTTCAAAATTTCCAGTTTGCGGGCACCCAGCTGTCTCGTCTTCACTTTGTACGTGCAATCCCTTTAGCTGCAATTCTGATTCTGTCCTTTCGTGTTTTTTACCCACCCCACATCCTGATTCTGTCCTTTCGTGTTTTTTACCCACCCCACATCCTGATTCTGTCCTTCCGTGTTTTTTACCCACCCCACATCCTGGTTCTGTTGTGACCTGGGCTGCTTTTAGCACAGGATCGCCTCAGGGCTCTCCACTTTTTCCTGGAAAGGTCCCCATCCACCAACATGCACCTCTGCCTGGCTGAAACAAAATCAAAAACTGCTGGAAAGTCTCAGCAGGTCTGGCAGCATCTCTGAAGAGAAAGCAGAGTTAATGTTTCAGGTCCAGTGACTCTTCTGCCTGGCTGAGCTCATCCTCGCTTTGAACAGCTTCTCCTTTGTCTCCTCTCACTTTCTTCAGATAATAGCCATGATGTGGAGGTGTCGGTGTTGGATTGGGGTGGACAAAGTCAGAAGTCACACACCACCAAGTTATAGTCCAACAGGTTTATTTGGAGTTTGAGAAGATTTGTAGCTCGGGTTGTGGATGAGGTTGCAGACTTGCTCGCCAAGCCAGTGGGTTTGGTTGCAAACATTCTGTCTCCCTGCTAGGTAACATGGTCCGTGCACCTCTGGTGAAGCTTTGGCGTTCTGTCCCTCTTGCTATTTATATGCCTCAGTTGGCTGGGATGGTTGGAACTGATAGCAATACCAGCCACCCAGCAAACCGAGGCATCTCATTATCACTTACTTGGCTTCTCTTCAGTCCTGGCCTACAATCAATATCGTCTCATCTGCCCACCCTTAGCATATCTCTTTCTCACTCTCTGGGATCTGTCTCCATCTATCAGCTCACCTCTCTTTCCCCCTACCCTCGAAACTTGTCTTCAGCATAAATATGACTTTTTCCCAGCTGCTATCAGTTCTAATAGAGGCACCAAACTCAAAACGTCAACTCTGCTTTCTTCCCACAGATGCTGCCAGATCTCCTGAGTTTCACAAGCAATTTCTGTTTTAGTTTTAAGAACTTATCCACCTCTACCTTAAAAATATTCAGTGAACCTGCCTCTACCACCTTCTGACGCAGAGTTCCAAAGTCACATAACTCCCAGAGAGAATATATTCTGGCTGTGCGTCTCCTAATGCCCATGAAGATTCTGCTCATGCACATTATGAGCAGAAAATGTTCTTTTGGCAAAATACATGGCAGCACCGAAACAAGAACAGTCAATCTGAGTGACATCACTGGCAGGGGTACTAAAAATGCGTGTTTTGAACATGAGTAAGGAGGGCGTATTGGGGGTGCAAGAAGACTTTTGTACATTTTCCCCTCACATTGACGTCCCTAATTTTCCCTTATGATACTTGGCTGGATTTTGCCCACTCACTCAACCTACATCTATCCATCTGCAAACTTTTAATGTTGCCTTAGGAGGTGCAATTTATAATACAAGGTAGGGTTGGTGATTAAGGGAGCTAGGGAAGAAAACAAAACAGTTGTTCCGTTGCTTTTGCTATTTCTAACTTTTTCAGCCTCCAGGAATCGATTTTTACTCTGCTATAGGAGAAGAAGTTGATTTAACAGCAAGAATAAGGTAAATGACTAGGCTTATTCTATTTTTAAGAGTTCAAAATAGTGTGCAATTTTAATTTCTTTAATGATTGATTCTAACAGCTTCCCAAACAAATATGTCAAACTAACGAGCCTACAATTTCCTGCTTTCTGCTTTCCTCCCTTCTTGGATAGAGGGATGACATTTGCTACTAACCAGTCTGATGGAACTTTTTCTGGATCTAGAGAAGTTTGAAAGATTGGCATCAATTACATCATTAGCTACTTCTTTAAGACTCTCGGATGAAATCCACCTGGACCTGAGGATTTGCAACCCACAGTTCCATCAGTTTACCGTGTACCACCTCCCTGGTGATTGTAATTTACCAAGTTCTCCCCAGCTTCTGATTTACAGCTGTTACTGAGATGAGTTTTGTATACTGTACAGTGAAGATGGAAATGAAATATTTGTTCACTTTACCTGCCATTTCCTTATTATCTACTACAACTTCCTCCCCGCGAGCTGTATCCAATCCCATGAGTCATGACCCTTTCCCAAGGGCCATGACCCCTCCCCAGGAATCCTATAGAGGGACCATGTACCTTCCCCACGTGTAATGCCCCTTGGAATCCACCCCAAGCCTCTCCAAAGACTCAGTGCTTGAAACACTCACTGTGTTAATGAGTACAAATTCCACACTATGGTACAGTTGACCGATTCTCCTAATCCTGCCCACCCAACCACAACACCCCGAAGAATCTGACCCCTGCTCCAAATCCAGCTACTAACCATTGACCCACTGCAATCTTCTTTGATGTGGTCAAACAGTGTCCCATGGCACCTGCCTCTTTCAACTCACCATCACTTTCTCAAACATCAGTTTGTCGTCCAGACTCTTGTTGCTCACACACCCAGACTTCAAATAGTGATAGGATTCAGCGTCTGACAGGTACAAGGCCTCTGCCCAAACAAACAGTGAACAGAAAAACACACAGATCAGCAGAAGAAAGACAGACTCCAGACTCTTACATTTCAAAGACGAACCCCTCCCCATGCCCATCACCACCCTTTTCTACTTCTCCCAATCCCCTCCTCCCCTCTTCCTTCTCCCAACCCCTATTTCTCCCACATTGTACATGGAGTGGGAGAGAGTGGGGATGGGTGGGATGGGGAAGAAAAGGGATTGGGGAGAGGATGGATGGAAGAGATGGAACAGGCTTCTTGTACTGCGGGAGGGGCCTTTGCGCCCCTGGAATTTGGGAATTCTCTGGGCACTGACACCAAGGGTAAGGGAGAGTCTGGTGATCTATGCTGGTTTGTCCCATGGTGAAGGCCATTGTCATGACCCCAGGTCACATTCCTTGCTCACCTTTCTGCTGTGAGTCGGTTCCAGCCAACAGAGCATAGAAGATGTGGTAATTCCTTTCATCTGGATTCTGTCTGACCACTCGGTTCTGGAATAAACATCACAGTCATCAGTGTCTGTGGGAAAACAGAGCACCCCCTCCCCTCAGCATGTTCGCACATGCCACCCCCACCAACCACCCCCCCCTCCAACTCCCACACAGAGGGATTTAGGACATAGGTCAGCAGGAGGTGAGAGGTCACTGGTGTGGGGCTACCACAGGGAAAGGATCACTGGAGGTCACTACAGAACATGGAGTCACCACAGGACAGGAGTCACCATGGACCAAAGATCACCAAATGTTATCACAGGTCAAGGTTTACAGCTCAGTAAGATGTCACTGTAAGGTGAAGGTTCAGAGCAGAATTAGGAGTGTGAGTTAGCAATAGAGGGCCAAGCATCTGGCCAGAGTGAGGGTAGGGCCTATCAGGGGCAGTGAAGGGAACTTGTGCCTGGAGTCAGAACAGGTAGGGGAGGTCCTTAATGAATACTTTGCTTCAGTATTCACCAGTGGGAGGAACCTTGATGTTTGTGAGGACAGCGTGAAACAGGCAGATATGCTCAAACAGCTTGATGTTAGGAAGGAGGATGTGCTAGAAATTTTGAAAACCATGAGGATAGATAAGTCCCCTGGGCCAGACGGGATATACCCAAGGTTACTACGGGAAGCAAGGGAAGAGATTGCTGCCCCTTTGGCAATGATCTTTGTGTCCTCACTGTCCACTGGAGTAGTACCAGATGATTGGAGGGTGGCAAATGTCATTCCCTTGTTCAAGAAAGGGAACAGGGATAATCCTGGGAATTACAGACCAGTCAGTCTTACTTCTGTGGTGGGCAAATTATTTGAGATACAGTATTTATGATTATTTAGAAAAGCATAGTTTGATTAGAGACAGTCAGCATGGCTTTGTGAGGGGCAGGTCATGCCTCACAAGCCTTATTGAATTCTTTGAGGAAGTGACAAAACACATCGATGAAGGTAGAGCAGTGGATGTGGTGTATATGGATTTTGCAAGACATTGGATGAGGTTCCTCATGGTAGGCTCATTCAGAAAGTAAGGAGGCATGGGATTCTGGGAAATTTGGCTCTCTGGATACAAAACTGGCTGTCCAATAGAAGACAGAGGGTGGTAGTCGATGGAAAGTATTCAGCCTGAAGCTCGGTGACACGTGATGTTGCGCAGGGATCTGTTCTGGGACCTCTGCTCTTTGTGATTTTTATAAATACCTTGGATGAGGAAGTGGAAGGGTGGGTTAGTAAGTTTGCCGATGACACAAAGGTTGGTGGAATTATGGACAGCGTGGAGGGCTGTTGTAGGTTGCAACGGGACATTGACAGGATGCAGAGCTGGGCAAAGAAGTGGCAGATGGAATTCAACCCAGAAAAGTGTGAAGTGATTCATTTTGGAAGGTCGAATTTGAATGCAGAATACAGGGCTAACGGCAGGATTCTTGGCACTGTGGAGGAACAGAGGGATAGATCAAAGTTGCAACCCAAGTTGATAGGGTTGTAAAGAAGGCATATGGTCTGTTGGCTTTCATTGGCAGGGGGATTGAGTTTAAGTGCTGCGAGGTTATGCTGCAGCTCTACAAAACCCTGGTTAGACCACACTTGGAATATTGTGCTCAGTTCTGGTCGCCTCATTATAGGAAGGATGTGGAAGCTTTAGAGAGGGTGCAGAGGAGATTTACCAGGATGCTGCCTGGACTGGAGGGCAGGTCTTATGAGGAAAGGTTGAGGGAGCTAGCGCTTTTCTCATTGGAGCGAAGAAGGATGAGAGGTGACTTGATAGAGGTGTACAAGATGATGACAGGCACAGATAGAGTGGATAGTCAGAGACTTTTTCCCAGGGCAGAAATGGCTTTCATGAGGGGGTTTAATTTTAAGGTGACTGGAGGAAGGTATAGGGGAGATGTTTGAGTAGGTTCTTCACACAGAGAGTGGTGGGTGTGTGGAATGCAGTTCCGGAGGTAGTAGTGGAGTCAGGTACATTAGGGACATTTAAGCTACTCTTGGATAGGCACATGGATGATATTAAAATGTAGGGTATGCAAGTTGATCTTAGAGTAGGATAATAGGTCGACACAACATCATGGGCCGAAGGGTCCGTACTGTGCTGTACTGCTCTATGTTCTATGTTCTATGATCACCAAAGGTGATCACTAGGCTGTGAGTCACACTGCAGGGTAAAAAATGATTAAGTAGAGGTGGGTCACCAGAAATGAGAACACACAGGAAATTAACCCCAATTCAGATAAGAGAAGCTCCTCTTCATGATCAAAGGGAATAAAACTGCATCCCCTCCTGTCAGAGAGGTAAAGGCCCACCTCCCTAAGCAGTCACAACCAACTTCAGCCAAAAGAACACTCTTCAAAGATGGAGTGCAGAGAAGGGTTACTGGACTAATTCATGGGATGGCAGAACTGTCCCACAAGTGATAGACGAGACTGGTTTTGGATTCACTGGAATTTTGAGAATTGTGAAGTGATCACACTGATGCATGAAACATTCTTCCAGGGTTCAACAGGGTAGATGCAGGAAGGATGCTTCCCCCAGGTTGGAGAAGGGAGCTGAAACCAGGCCTACAGTCTCAGAACACAGGGCAGGCTACTTTGGACTGAAATGAGGAGGAATTTCTTCACTTGAAGGATGTTGAACCTTTGGAATTTCCTACCCCAGAAGGCAATGGAGACTTGGTCATTGAGCATGTTCAATTTAGAAATCAATAGGGAGAAAGGCAAAAAGCATGTAACTATCGGCCAATTAGTCAAATATTTATTACCGGCAAAGTATTGGAATTAATCATCAAAGAAGTCACAGCAGAACATTTGGAAAATCGTAATCTAAATCAAGCAGAGAGTCAGCACGGCTTCATGAAAGGGAAATGGTTTCTCTTATCAGAGATTTGAGGTAGTCTCAAACAGAGTGAGCAGAGTGGAACTGGTAGATGTCTTGTATTTGGACTTCAAGAAGGCGTTCAAAAGGCACCTTAGAATTCCTATAGATTGAAAGTAGGACAGGTGTGTTCAGGAATTATACAGCACACTGACAGTTGGAACAGTAGTAATGGAATCCCTACTAAAGGAGAGAATAAAAACCAGAAGTAAATATATATCAATAAATATAAATATATACTGCATCAAAATGTACATAACAAATACTGAAATAAAATGATCACTAGGGAAGGCAGTGGTGGACTGGTAATGTTATTAGACTAGCAATCCTGGAGAAGGCAGGAAAATGGAATCAAGGATTATCAGATTAGCCATGATCTCATTGAATGGCAGAGCAGACTTTATAGGCTAAATGGCCTACTTCTGCTTCTATATCTTAAGGTCTTAATCGAGAGCTCCAGGCTAGCATTCTTGGACACAGGTTCAGAATTCACCATAGAAACTGGTGGAATTTCAATTGAATTAAATTTGGAATTAAATGCTAGTATAACGGTGACCATAAATTGATTGTTATAAAAACCTATCCAATTCACTAATGTCACTCAGAGAGGGAAATCTGCTATCCTTACTCTGTCTGGAATACACATAACTCCAGAACCACAGCATTCCGTTAACTCTTAACTGACCTCTGACCTCTGAAATGGCACAGGAAGATTGTTTAACACTTCCTTCTCAAGGTCAGCGAGGGATGGGCAAACGTTTAGTTCATACATTCACAGGCTCTCATCAAGTTGGGCAGAAAATACTTCTTCCAGTGGGGGAGCAGGAGGTTAAAATTTAGAACAAAAGAACAATACAGCACAGGAACAGGCCCTTCGGCCCTCCAAGCCTGCGCTGACACATTTTGCCCTTCCATACTAAAACTGCCTTCACTTACAGGATCCATATCCCTCTGTTCCCTTCCTATTCATGTATTCATCCAGGTGTTTCTTGAATACTGCTACTGTGTCTGCTTCCACCACCTCCTCTGGCAGCGGGTTCCAGACACTCACCATCCTATGTGTGAAAAACCTGACTCCCACATCTCTTTTAAACCATCCCCCCCGACCTCACACCTTGAACCTGTGTCCCATGGTGATTGACCCCTCCACCCTGGGAAAAAGCCTCATACTTTCCACTCTATCCATGCCATTGACAATCTTATAAACTTCTTTCAGGTCACCCTTCAACGCCCTGCATTCCAGTGAAAACAAACCCAGTTATAGAGTAATACAGCATGGAAACAGGTGCTTCGGCCCAAACTGGCCCATGCTGACATTGGTGCCCACTCAGCTAGTTCCAATTGCCCGCATTTGGTCCATATCCCTCTAAACCCTTCTCATCCATGTATCTATCCAAATATTTTTCTAAATGTTGCTATTGTACCTGCCTCAACCACTTTCTCTGGCAGCCCATTCCATATATGCACCACTGTCTGCGTGAAGATGTTGCCCCTCAGGTCCTTCTTAAATCTATCCCCTCTAGTTTTCAATTCCCCATCCCTGGGAAAAAGACTATATGTATTCATCCTATCTATGCCTTTCCTATCCATCCTATCCAACCTTTCTTCATAGCTAAAATCCTCTATACCAGGCAACATCCTTTTTCTGTCCCCTCTCCAAAGCATCCAAGTTCTTCTGGTAGTGTGGTGACCAGAGCTGTACACAATATTCCAAATGTGACCTGAATAAAGTTCTATAAAGCTGCAGCATAACTCGCCTATCCGTGTACACAATGCCCCTTCCAATGATTACTACCTTATCTACCTGCGCTGCCACCTGCAGTGACCTGTGGACCTGCACACCCAGATCCCTCTGCATATCAATACTCCTAAGGGTTCTGCCATTCACTGTATAATTTCCACGTGTACTTAACCTTCCAAAATGCATCACTTCACATTTGTCCGGATTAAACTCCATTTGCCATTTTTCTGCCCAGGCCTTCAACTGATCTATATCCTCCTGTATCCTCTGACAATCCTCCTCACTATCTACAACTCCACCAATCTTTGTGGAGTCTGCAAACTTACTGATTAGATTAGCTGCGTTTTCCTCCAAATCATTGATGTAGATACCGAACAGCAGAGGTCCCAGCACTGATCCCTGTGGAACACCACTAGTCACAGCCCTCCACTCTGAAAAGCATCCTTCCACTGCTACCCTCTGTTTCCTACGACTAAGCCAGTTCTGTATCCATCTTGCCAGCTCATCCTGATACCATGTGACTTGCACTATGTACCAGTCTGCCATGAGGCACCTTGTCAAAGGCTTTACTGGAGTCCATTTAGACAACATCAACCACTTTAAGCCAGGATCAGGGGTACTGTCAAGAAGCATTTTTTCACAATAAAGGTCATTGAAATCTGGATCTCTCTCCATTGTAAATCTGTTAAGGCTCGGATCAACTGAAGCCTTTAAGATGGAGACAAACAGATTATTTTTGGGTGAAGGGAATCAGAAAGAAGGCAGCTGGGCACCAATTCCCACAATCAGACTGAATGGTGGAATGGATCCAATGACTCAATGGACTGAATGGCCTCCTCTCATGCTGTGCAACACTAAGTGGAGGGAGCTCACCTTTTCCAGTAAATCTGCATCAGAAGTTAAGGATTTTAAAGGGTCATCTGTATATTTAATTCATTTTCCTCTGGGAGCTGTTAGCTTGGGGTTCTTAACGTTCTAGGGTCATAATCAAACAAACGCCAGACACTTATCCCAATCCTAAACTCCAAACGTTCACCTAATCCCAAAACCCAAACATTTACCCAATCCCAAATTGCAAATACTCACTACAATCCCAAACCCCAAACATTCATCCCAATCCCAATGTCGAACCCTAACCCAAGTCCCCTCAGCTAATGGCTTTCAATTGACTCACAATCTTCTCAGCCCAAACTCTACTGTTTTTGCACTAGCTATTAGTACATTGCTGCAATGGGGACATTTGTACAGTCAGTGTGCAGGACCACTGGAATGACTGGGTCATTGACAAAGGGTAGTGGGCAGATATAGAGCTTTCAGTCACTCCTTGATCAAAAGGATACAGTCAACAATGGCACCTCCCTGAATGTTTCCATTCTGAGAAAAGTGAAGTTGGATGAATTTCCCAAATCGGCTGGAGTTGTTGTTGTAAACAGTCTTGGCATTTCCGAAAGCTTCCATGACTGGGCTGCAGAGAAAGATTCTCAACATTAATGGTGTACCTGAAACCTGATGCTGAAACCTGCTGCCAATTTCCCAACTCGCACAAAGTCCCGTTTCATGGTCACTCCAATGTTCACTGACCAATTTGGCTCCGGGTCAAGCAGCATCTGGATTTTAAAATTCTCGTCTTTGTTTTCAATCCAACAATGTCCTCACCTCTCCTTACCCTTGAATCTCCTCAAACCTCACATCATTCAAAATCCTAAAATACTGGCTGTTCCACATCTGCTGATTTAAATCACTCCACTAGTGGCACTGTGCACTAAGGGAGCTGGGACCAGAACTCTGCAATTCTCTCCCCTGTCTCCTCCTGTCTCCCCTCCTTTGAGATACTCCTTAAAAGCAACCTATTTCAACTAACCTTGCCCTTCTGCTCTAATCTGCTCTTATGTGACTGAGATCAAAACTTATTTTGAAATTAATCTATGAAACATCTTCCTTAAGTACTTTACAAAAACAAGATATCGTCCTCAAGTGGGAGTCAGTGTGTGTGGGACTGTACCCCAGTGAGAGTCAGTGTGTGTGGGACTGTACCCCAGTGAGAGTCAGT